CGTAACAGGAAGCATCCTCTCCACATCTACAGTATCAAGACCCCTAAGGATCTTACATGTTTCAACCAAATCATCTCCTACTCTTCTCAACTCCAGCAGATTCAGCCTAGTCTATCCAACTTACCTCCCTAAGACAGGTCATTCATTCCAGGTATGAGTCTAGTAAAGCTTCTCTGAACTGCTTCCAAATGCTTAAACATGGCCATCAATACTGGGCACACTACTCCAGATGTGGTCTCAACAGTGTCCAGTATAACTGAAGTGTAACCTCACTATTTTTGTATTCAGGTCGACTCACAATTAATTCTTTAGCTTTCCTAATTATTTGCTGTACTTGCATACTAAGCTTTTGTGATTCATGCACAAGGATACTAAGATCCTTCTGCATCTTAAAGCTCTGCAATCTCTTAACATGCAGGTATTATGTTTCCATTTTATTCTTCTTACCAAATTAACACTTTCACATTTTCCCACATTATACTCCATATACCAGTATCTTTGCCCATTCACAATCTGTATATAACTTTAATTCCCTTGTGCCCTCTTCACAGCTTGCGTTCCTACCGATCTTTGTGTCACCACCCTCATCTAAGCCATTTATGTAAATTGTAAATTGTAAATGGTTGATGTCCTAGCACCAGTCCCTGCGGCACACCACTTGCACATTTTGCCAACCTGAAGACCCATTTATGCCAATTTTGATTCCTGTTTGCCAGCCAATCTTCTATCCATATCAATATGCAACCTCAACACCATGATCTGTCATCTTCCTCAACAACCTTTAATATGGCACCTTATTGAATAACTTCTGGAAATCTAAATACAGTACACCAACACGTGACATCTTCTCAAAGAATTCAACCAATATGTTTGGTCAAACATGTTTTCCCTTCTACAAAACCATGTTGACTCTGCCGGATTACTTTGAACTTATCCAAATGCCCTACAACTTTCTTAATAATGGCTTCTAACATCCCCAGATGGAAAGCTAATTGGCCTCCAGTTTTCTGCTTTGTTTTCCTTCCTTTTTGAGCATTTGCTATCTTCCAAATATAATGGGAGCACCCCCACATCAAAGGAGTTTTGGAAACTTTAAACTAATGCAACAACTATTTTACCTGCCACTTCTTTTAAGAACCTAGAATGAAATCCATCAGTTATCAGCCTTCAGCTCAAACAACTTACTCATTAGCACTTCTTTGATTATGATTTTTACGAGTTCCTTCCTCCCTTCTTTCTATTTCCTGATTTATCATTGCTTCTGGGATATTACTTACATCCTCTATAGTGAACACAAGTGCAAAATACTGTTCAATTTTCATTATTTTCCATTCTCACTTTCTACAGGACCACCACACACTTTGTTAACTCTTATCTTCTTTAAATATTTATAGAAACTCTTACTTTGTGTTCTTAGATTTCTGGCTAGGTTTATTCTGTACTCTAATTTTTTTCCACTTTATTAATTCTTCTGGTTATACTTTTCCTTTTTCTTACATACTCCAATGTTTTAATCTGTCACATGTTTTTGCACAATTATATGCTTTCTCTTTTAGTTTGATACAATCTTTAACATTTTTAGTTAACCACAGATATCACATCAATCCTTTGGACATTTTTCATACTCTTCAGGATATATCTATTCTTTGTATTCTGAAGCATTTTGTGGACTCATCTAGGCTACCTTAGCCGATGAGACTTTTCCAGGTGATGCTTAGATATAAAGCTCCCACGATTATCACTGTTCCTTTCTGATAAACTCTCATTATTTCTTCCTTTATGCTACACACTGCTGCATGTGTACCTGTACACCACTTTCGCAAGATGCATTTTGCCTTTATCATTTGTCATTTGTATCCAACTGTTTCCATATATTGGTTTCCTAAATTTAGGTTCTTAGATTTGTTTCCTCCATCCCTTCCTGGGCTGTTTATCGTTTCCTGTACTAATGCCTCTCTCTTTGGTCTTGACACTACTCTTTGATTTATCATATCTTCCCAAATTTGAACCCTTGAAACTCACTATTTAGTTTAAAGTCCGGCAGCATTCCCAAACATTTCTGACATGAGTGCAGGAGATTTCTGTCCTCCATTCTATACGTTTGAGGGTCCAATTAAAAAGCATATGAGAAAACTTGAACATGCCTTCACTCCTGCATGAACTCTACAAATCTTTGATTTTGCACTGGGCATGCAGATAGATATCAATGAAACACTGCATTATGAGACATTTGTAAGGTAAAATTGTTGAGAAAGCAATTACTTTGAACTATAAACATAAAAGGGCATCCAACTTGGGGATTACGACAGGTAGTTTACAGAACAGGACATTTTCATTATTGTTTAGGGCTTTTGATCTAAAACGCCACTAAACCCTCCAGCAGTCATAGCTTAAATTTGCATCTTGGCTTTTCTTCCTCACCTCTATTCCAGTTTGCTCAAAACTGACACTGAAAAATGTGCTTTTATTGATTCTCCTCAGGTGTTTAAAGTTTTGGCAAAGATCTGTAGCTCGGGTTGTGGATGAGGTTGTTGACTTGCTCGCCGAGCTGGCTTGTTTTTGTTCAGATGTTTCGTCACCACGCTAGGTGACATCATCAGTGGAGCGTCCGATGAAGCAATGCTATTCTACTCCGCTTAGAATTTATATTGTCCTGTCCGTTATGGTGAGTACTGTCATTTCCAGTTTTCATCTGTATGGGGTTGTATATGGGGTCCAAATCTATATGTTTGTTGTTTGAAGTATGGGTGGAGAACCATGCCTCTAGGAATTCCCGTGCATGTCTATGTTTGGTTTGGGCTACTATGGTTACTTTTTATGTACCAACAACAGGATGACACAGTATGACCTAACACACTGACCATGCTGCCCTACATCAAGAACATATTGGAACTGACAACAAGACTCCTAAGACCACTAGGAATCATGGTGGCCCACAAGCCCACAAGCCCATTCTATGACAAACACTTACAAGGATTAAAAACCCCATTCCCACAACATGCAGAACGAACGTGGCCTACAAAATACCATGCAATGACTGCCACAAACATTACATTGGACACACAGGAAGGAAACTAGCCATTGGAATACACGAACATCAGCTAACAGCAAAACAACACGACAAACTCTCCTTAATATCGGTACATGCTGACAATGAAGGCCATCAGTTTAACTGGGACAAAGTAATCATAGTAGCCCAAGCCAAACATAGACACACACGGTAATTCTTACAGGCATGGTTCTCCACCCATACTTCAATCAACAAACATATAGAATTGGACCCCATATATAAACCCATACGGGTTAAAACAGGAACTAATAGTACTCACCATAACGGACTAGACTGTATAAATTCCAAGCGGCGTAGAATAACATCGCTTCACCGGAACCTCCACCGATGATGTCACCTAGCATGATGACGAAACTTCTGAAAAAAAAAGCCAGCTCAGCTAGCAAGTCAACAACCTCTCCTCAGGTGTGTTAACATTGCCATTTTTGAGAAATTTATGTGAGGAGGTGAAGGCCTAGTAGTATCATTGCTAGACTATTAATCCAGAGACCCAGGTGATGTTCTGGGGATAGTAGGAACTGCAGATGCTGGAGAATCTGAGATAACAAGATGTAGAGCTGGATGAACACAGCAGGCCAAGCAGCATCAGAGGAGCCGGAAGGCTGACGTTTCGGGTCTAGACCCTTCTTCAGAAATGGGGGAGGGGAAGGAGGTTCTGAAATAAATAGGGAGAGAGGGGGAGGCGGATAGAAGATGGATAGAGGAGAAGATAGGTGGAGAGGAGAAAGACAGGTCAAAGAGGCGGGGATGGAGCGAGTAAAGGTGAGTGTAGGTGGGGAGGTAGGGAGGAGATAGGTCAGTCCAGGGAGGACGGACAGGTCAAGGGGGCTGGATGAGGTTGGTAGGTAGGTGATGGGAGGGGGAGTTGAAATGGTTCGCGACTGGAGGGTGCAGTTGTTTAGTGCGAACCGCGACTGGGAGGTGCAGTTGTCTAGTGCTCCCAGTCGCGAACCATTTCAACTCCCCCTCCCATTCCTCAGACGACATGTCCATCCTGGGCCTCCTGGAGTGCCACAACGATGCCACCCGAAGGTTGCAGGAACAGCAACTCATATTCCGCTTGGGAACCCTGCAGCCCAATGGTATCAATGTGGATTTCACCAGCTTCAAATTCTCCCCTCCCCCTACCGCATCCCAAAACCAGCCCAGCTCGTCCCCGCCTCCCACCTCAAGCCCCACCCCCATCTCCTACCTACCAACCTCATCCTGCCCCCTTGACCTGTCCGTCCTCCCTGGACTGACCTATCCCCTCCCTAACTCCCCACCTACAGTCACCTTTACTGGCTCCATCCCCGCCTCTTTGACCTGTCTGTCTCCTCTCCACCTATCTTCTCCTCTATCCATCTTCTATCCGCCTCCCCCTCTCTCCCTATTTATTTCAGAACCTCCTTCCCCTCCCCCATTTCTGAAGAAGGGTCTAGACCCGAAACGTCTGCCCTCCTGCTCCTCTGATGCTGCTTGGCCTGCTGTGCTCATCCAGCTCTACATCTTGTTATCTCTGATGTTCTGGGGAACCAAGTTCAAACTCCTCCATGGTAGATGGTGGAATTTGAATTCAATCAAAAAAAATCCAGAAATAAGGGTCTAACAATGACTGTGAAACTGATGTCAATTGTAAATTTTCAAGGTGTGATGCTGCATTTTGTATCCTACTTTATATTTTTTAAACAAAAGTTCTACACAAAACGTCAGAAAATAAACTAATCTACACAGTCTGTAAACACATTTACTTTTACTGCTGTTTTTATTGAGCCTCTAAACAAACACATAATATGAGCATTTATTTCTGTTGTTGCTCAGAAACAATCACATGCAAACTGAACTCTCATTTACACATTCCATAGTACATTCAGAAAGGCTTTAGAATGAACATAATTTCTTCAGCAAGTAGATTAAGAAAATTAAAATAAAATAATCAACAAGTGCTTACCTTATTTTAAGTTCCCCCTAGTTTTCAATTAAATCCTGTAAATCATCAAGGAAAGGGAATCAACACTTTTATATCAACATTCAATATGCAGAACATGACACCAGTGAGTAAAGACAGAATGCTACTGTCATTCTACATGATTTTGTTTTGTTGGATATCCCTTTTTCTGAACGTAAACAGTACAATCAAATTGTTCAGAAATGGAAGATCATGAAAGCATTTACTTCTATGGTAATACAACTATTAACTATTATATCAAAGTCACAAATTATATCTATGTGACTGTGACTAAGTAAATTTTGCCTCCTCATCCTCTTTCAATGTTTTTCCACTGTCATCCGGCCATTGGGATTGCTTTCAATTCTCTTCCTGCTCCTGCTGCATTATCTCTGGTGAACCCCAAGGATCAATCTTTTTCCTCTTCCTGTTTCCATTCCACATGTTGTCCCTTGGTGACATCATGCAAAGTCACAGGGTTGGTTTCACATGTACACCTGGTGGTCTACAACCTCTCTCAATTCCCCCATCGTTGCTAAATTATCAGATTGCTTATCCAAGAAGGAGTATTAGATAAACAAAAATTTCCTCCAATTAAATGTTGGGAAGACTGAAGCTATTGTTTTCATCCCCAATCCAAATTCCATTCTCCATCTATCAATTACATCCTGCTTCCTGACAACAGTCTGAGATTAACCTGGTTGGTTTGCAACCTTGATGTCACATTGATCCCAAGACGACAAACCATCTTCATATTTGTGCCATCATTAAGACCACCTATTTTCATCTCCATTATATTGCTTGACTTTACCCCTGTCTCAAATCATCTGTGGCCAAAACCTCCTCCATGTCTTTGTTAGCTCAAGCTCCAATGTTCTCCTGGCTGGTGTCCCACATTCTATCTGTTATAAACTTGAGGTCATCCAAAACTCAACCACACATCTGTTAAATCTTAGCAAGTCTCATTTCCCTATCAACTGTGCTCACAGACCTATAGTGGTTCCCAGTCAAGCAGCATGTTGATCCAGCAGCTCAATATGCTTTATTGCATTAAAGATGCACTAAGAAAACTCAAGCACATATTTGTGACTTCAGAAATGTACATAATCACTGATGCATGACTTGGTCCAGGATTTTGACTTTTCCCAAAGGGATTGGGTTTTCAGTGCAACTTGCAAGCTGCAATGGAGAATGTCTGAGGTGCGGGCATGGAGTTGGAGCAATTAGAATATCTATCTTTGTGCCCAACAGGACAGATCAACTCCCAACGTTGTTTAAAGCCCCCAAAAGCAGATCCCTCACCCCACAATACACTCCCATGCCATTTCAGATTGTGATTCCACCTCCACTTCCTTTATCCCCTAGCCACCCCAATCCTTTTAAATTGCTTGCGTAAATCACTGTCCCCCCACACGGCATGCATCATCTGATCCCCATAAAACATCTATGAACCACCTGATGCCAAGCAGCTGTATCATACATGACCACTCATCCAGTATGTACCATGTGCAGTTTTTGCTAAACTGTAGCAATGGGAATTATTTTTAAATTACTGGGACAAAAAAAAACTACAATCATGATCAAGGCATACATTCTGTTTACAAAACCCATGCCAGCACACAAACAGTGTTTGGGAGGAAGTAGAATGTTCCTGTGATCCTCATAATTCTGTGTTTCCAACCACAGAAGAAGTACAGATGCATTCTGTACCCAAGGCCTCCTGACCAATCAAAAGGCCACATGAAAATGGTGTAGATAAGGAAGGCAGAGGAAAATTTTTCTTTGCTGGGAAAACAACTTTAGTTCAAAGTTTTGCAATCCAAATTATACCTTTATTATGAGGTGAAAATCTGACCCAGGACTTAGGTGCAGTGTAGCAAAAGACATCGATAAAAAAAGTCATAGATTTTAGTACATACATCACAAATACATTACCTTCCTTTTGGCTTCTGCTGTCAAGATCACAGATCCTTCCTTTTCTTCTAATTTAGTGATTGTAATGCAATCCCAAAGCTCTAAACATGCATGATGACAGAGTACATGGATGTGCTCATTATTGTTCATTCTTGCCTTTTTGGTATCTATCATAGTCAGCAGACTAACTTCTGAAGAATGCAAGGCAGAAACAAGTAGATAGCTTCTGAATTTTTAATCACAGTTTGCACTGCCTCTCCTATGGCATTACTTTAATTAATCTTTTGCTCCATGTTTGATTAATACAAGAATTTTGACATGCAAGTTTAACTTCTGTGATACATACTTTTGGAAATTATTTTTTATTTTCTACAGCTGCAAAAGTTAGAATAATGTATTTTTTAAACTTGACTCATCAATTTTACTTTGTTGCACCAGTATTCTTCAGGATAACATTGAAATTTAAATACTTTGTAGTAGGTTAGACAGTGACATTTGTGCAATTTGCATTCCAGTTTTAAACACTGTGCAAATTGATGAACTAATCATCACTTTTTCTGGTTTGCCGGTCTAGGATCTATGTGGAACGAGTTTAGTGAGTTTCAATTCAGCTTGCAGTGAGTATGAGCATAATATCGCTCCTAATTTGGTAACTAATGATTATCTTCAAGAGACCAGTGGACAAAAGATGTAAGAGTGAGCACTTCACTGGATGGGAGAGGTGAGGAAGCTTGATTCTGTATCTCATGTCCAGACATTTTCCACAGTGATATTGTTTAAGTAATAAGGATGACAAGTGTATTGAAGTTCTTTTATAAGTAGTATTCATGACTGGAACATGTTCCTTTCCTGACCCAGTTTACATTCAAATTCCATGTTCAGCTAGTTCATGCAACACATATAGATGCGATGGAGGGAAGATGAGGAAAATACAACAAAAGAAGATCAAATGGAAAAGAATGAGCTAATTTTAACAATGTGAAGAAGGTTCTGACGAAAGCTCATCAACCTTAGATGTTAATTCTCATTTGACTCCACACGTGCTGCCTTGTCCTGCTCAGTATTTCCAGCATTTTTGTTTCTTAATGCAGGTATAGAAAATTTAAAATAATTTGCTTTTGCATTATGGTGAGAATGGTTTATATTCTCCAATTTAGATAATTTAACACACTTTTTTTTAAATTCCAAGATTCGGAAAGGTGAACGGTTTGACAAAAAATGCACAGATAAGCAGATGTTTATAATGTTACACCATTGCATAGTGACCTGAATACTTTAAAATTAATCATTAAAATCCAACATTCAACTAAAGAATCTCCCAAGTTTGGGCTCGGTCATAGGAAATAATTGCTGTTACAACTCTGAACACCAATTCCAAAGATTAGAAACATATCTGGTATCCTTCCATTTGAGAGAGACTGATGGGAATGCATCCTCAAAGTTCTACCAAACCAAGAATTTTGTGCGCCAGTACATACTTGTGGTGATGTTCATAATTAGTTAAATATTTACTGATTTATAGCAATAATTCAACTTTTGCCACAAGGAATAATATCGTGGCTGCTAAGCTATGGTGAATGGACTTCTGATTTCATCTACACAAGATGCCATTTTAGGATTATTTACTGGTGCTTTAGGAATAGAATTCTACAAAAGTTCATCCATTATTCTTTACAGGTGACTTCTATTTTTGCGTGTTTAACCTGTGCACTTACTAAGTATTTGCCAGTTTTAAAGCTTAGAATACATATGGCATGTAAAGTATATCACTTGCTGCTAGACACCTTGTATTTAGGGGCAATGGGAAAGAGAACAGGGATTTCACTGCACTTGAAGCACCAACTCAGATGAGCAGCACTTGTCAGATAGAGGATGAGCTAGAGATGGCCTAAGTGTATAGTAACTATGACACAGGTGGAACTGAAAGTCACAGGTGCTAGATAGAACAAAGAAAATTACAGCACAGGAACAGGCCCTTCGGCCCTCCAAGCCTGCACTGACATGCTGCCCATCACAACTAAAACCCCCTACCCTTCCGGGGACCGTATCCCTCTATTCCCATCCTATTCATGTATTTGTCAAGACGCCCTTTAGAAGTCACAAGAGTATCAGCTTCCACCACCTCCTCCAGCAGTGAGTTCCCGGCACTCACCACCCTCTATGTAAACAATTTGCCGCGTACATCACCTTTAAACCTTGTCCCTCGTACCTTAAACATATGCCCCTGAGTAACTGACTCTGCCACACTGGGAGAAAGCTTCTGACTGTCCACTCTGTCTGTGCCCTTCATTATCTTGTAGACCTCTATCAGGTTGCCCCTCAACCTCTGTTGTTCCAGTTTGAACAACCTAAGTTTCTCCAACCTCTCCACATAGACAATGCCCTCTATACCAGGCAACATCCTAGTAAACAGGACTTTAAACCAGAAGGTGGGAGGAGAAGGGAACGGTGAAACTAGCCCCGGTGGGAAACAAAGCAGCAGGTTAACATCTCTAGTGGTGGATTCAACTAAGTGGAAAAATATGAAAGAAATGACAGGGAAGGGAAATTCAGGAGAGGTTATTAAAGTCTCCAGCACAGACACAAACAGGACAGTGTGTTTGGAAAGGGCTAGCAATCAAACACTTGAAAAACAAATGAAAAAGAGAAGAGGGAGAGTTAATACAGGACTGAAGGTGTTATATCTGAATGCACACAGTATAAGGAATAAGGTAAATGAGCTTGTGGCGCAGATCGAAACTGGCAGGTATGATGTGGTAGGCATCACGGAGACGTGGTTGCAAGAGGATCAGGATTGGGAACTGAATATCCAAGGATATACATCCTATCGAAAAGATAGGCAGGTGGGCCGAGGGGGTGGGGTTGCCTTCTTAGTGAGAAATGAAATTAAATCAATAGGAAGAAACGAAGTAGGGTCAGATGGTGTAGGATCTGTGCGGGTAGAATTGATGAACCACAAAGGTAAAAAAACCATAGTTGGGGTTGTGTACAGGCCTCTAAACAGTAGTCAAGAGCTGGGGCGCAAGATACACCAGGAGATAGAAAAGGTGTGTAAGAAAGGCAAAGTCATAGTGATCATGGGGGATTTCAATATGCAGTTGGACTGGGAAAATCATGTTGGTAGTGGATTGCAAGAGAGTTTGTGGAATGTCTATGAGATGGCTTTTGGAGCAGCTTGTGGTGGATCCCACAAGGGAACAGGCAATACTGGATTTGGTGTTGTGCAATGAGGCAGACTTGATAAGGGAGCTTAATGTAAAGAAACCCTTAGGAGGCAGTGATCATAAGATGACAGAATTTACTCTGCAATTTGAAAGGGAGAAGACAGAATCAGAGGTAACGGTATTACAGCTGAATAAAGGTGACTACAGAGGTATGAGGGAGGAGCTGGGCAGAATTGACTGGAAGAGGAGCCTAGCAGGAAAGACAGTGGAACAGCAGTGGCAGGAGTTTCTGTGAGTAATTCAGGAAAAGCAGCAAAAATTCATCCATAAGAAAAAGAAGCATGGTACAGGGAGGATGAGGCAACCATGGCTGACTAAGGAAGTCAGAGATAGCATAAAAGCAAAAGAGAAAGCATATAATGTGGTGAAGGGCAGTGGGAAACCAGAGGACTGGGAAGCTTAAAAAGACCAACAGAGGGCATCAAAAAAAGAAGTAAGGAGGGAGAAGATTAAATATAAGGGTAAGATAGCCAGTAACATAAATGAAGACTGTAAGAGTTTCTTTAGGTATATAAAGTGCAAAAGTGAGGCAAAAGTGGGAATTGGACCACTGGAAAGTGACAGTGGAGAGATGGTACTGGGGAACAAGGAAGTGGCTGAGGAACTGAATAATTACTTCGCGTCAGTCTTCACGGTGGAAGACGCGAGTAATATCCCAAAAATTCAAGAGAGTCAGGGGGCAGAGCTGAGTATGGTGGCCATCACCAAGGAAAAGGTGCTAGTAAAACTGATTGGCCTGAAGGTGGACAAATCACTGGACCAGATGGACCACACCTCAGAGTTCTAAAGGAGATAGCCGAAGAGATAGTGGAAGCGTTAGTGGTGATCTTTCAGGAATCACTAGAGTCAGGGAGGGTCCCAGAGGACTGGAAAATCGCTAACGCTGACACCCCTGTTTTAAAAGTCGGAAAATTACAGGCCGATTAGCCTAACCTCAGTCGTGGGTAAGATTCTGGACTCCATTGTAAAGAATGAGATTGCTGAATATTTGGAAGTGTATAGTAAAATAGGGCAAAGTCTGCATGGTTTCATCAAGGGGATGTCATGCCCGATAAATCTGCCAGAATTCTTTGAGGAAGTAACGAGCAGGGTAGACCAGCCAATGGATGTTATCTACCTGGACTTCAAAAAGGCCTTTGATAAGGTGCCACACAGGAGACTGCTGAGTAAGATAAGGGCCAATGGTGTGAGAGGAAAGGTGCTAGCATGGATAGCAGATTGGCTGTCTGGCAGAAAGCAGAGAGTGGGGATAAAGGGGTCTTTCTCGGGATGGCAGCAGGTGACAAATGGTGTTCTGCAAGGGTCAGTGCTGGGACCACAACTTTTCACTTTGTACATGAATGATCTAGTTGAAGGAACTGTGGGCATTCTGGTTAAGTTTGCAGACGATCCAAAAATAGGTGGAAGGACAGGTAGTACTGAGGAGGTGGCGAGGCTGCAGAAGGACTTGGACAGGTGAGGAGAGTGGGCAAAGAAGTGGCAGATGGAGTACAATGTGGGAAAGCGTGAGGCCATGCACTTTGGTAAAATGAATAAAAGCATGGACTATTTTCTAAATGGGGAGAAAATTCAGAAGTATGAAGTGCAAAGAGACTTGGGAGTTCTAGTCCAGGATTCTCTCAAGGTAAACTTGGAGGTTGAGTCCGTAGTCAGGAAAGCAAATGCAATGTTGGCATTTATTTTGAGAGGACTTGAATATAAAAGCTGTGATGTACTACTGAGGCTTTATAAGGCACTGGTCAGGCCACATTTGGAGTATTGCGTGCAGTTTTGGGCCCCATATCTCAGGAAGGATGTACTGGCCCTGGAGCGGGTTCAGAGGAGGTTCACGAGAATGGTCCCAGGAATGGAAAGCTTAACATATGAGGAACATTTGAGGACTCTGGGACTATACTCATTGAAGTTTAGACAGATGAGGAAGAATACTGAATGGCCTGGACAAAGTGGATGTTGGGAAGGTAGGAGAG